AGATCAGCCTGAGCAAGAGGGAGACTCCATCTCTACAAAAAAATAGAAAAATTAGCTGAGTGTGATGGCACATGCCTATAGTCCTAGCTACTCAGGAGGCTGAGGCAGGAGGATTGCTTGAACCCGAGAGTTTGTGTTGGTGTGAGCTACGATGACAACACTGCACTGTAGCTGGGGGGAGAGAGTGAGACTCTGTCTCAAAAAAGAAAAGAAAAAAAGACTTGTTAGGCTGGGCCCAAAGACATGTTTAGTCCAGGATAGGGTTTCTCATTAGCAGCACCATGACATTTTGGGCCAAATAATTCTTCACTGGGCAAGGGGGTAGTCCTGTGCATTAATAGAATATTTAACAGCCTCCTGGCTTATACTCTAGATGCCAGTAACAGCCCCTCCGCACCTGCCAGTTGTGACAACCAAAATGTCTCTAGACATTGCCAGATGTCCCAGGGAGGAGAGGAGAATTGCCCTTAGTTGAAAACTTCCGGCAAAACTACTGTGGCAAGATCTTTCTGTGTACTCTCCACAAAGTCCCATGAATCATGAGACTTTTTTTTAGTCTGGCTTTTTTTCCAAATAGGTGTTTTGCTTGGCCTTGTGTGAGTGCTAGGAGTCCTTTTGGATGGTCTTGCCTCGGTCTTGGTTAGTTTCCTCACATACATGTGCTGATCAGCATTCAAGTAATTATTCAAGAGAGACCTTATGTTGCTCTCTGGAGTTCCTTGGAGTCTTAATAGCTGTCTCCTCTCCAGTATTTTGTCCCTATAAACACTAGCCACTTTGACCACCTTAGACTCTCAGCTCCATCTCCTCAACTCATTGAATCTGCCAGGCCTCGCCTGGGTTTCCCACACTGCATCTCTTGTGGCTTGGGAAGCTGTCAAGGCAGTAAGCTGGGGCAGTGGGGCTCACTTTGTTTACTGTCTCTCAGGGATTTGTCTGATGTCCAATGTCTTGAAACTTTTTTTTTTCCACGTATTTTATCTTTTTTTTGGTTGGTTGAGGTCAGAGGATAAATCTGGTCTTTGTTACTACATCTTTGCCAGAAGTAGATGTCCCTTTAACTGATATTTTATTTGTATCAATTATTGGTTAAAGCTGAATTCTTAATGTTCTTAAACATTTACTAACCTAATTTCCTTATTTTATCAACGTGTGTGAATCTGTATCTGTTATATTCTTCACTCAAAGTCTTATGTTCCCTGTAATTCCTATGGCACAACATAAATATTAAATGGAGCCTAAAGCTTTTTATCATCTTTTAATATGCCTCAGTGTAGGCTTTCAGAGTGTTAGCTAAGTAGTGATTTAGTATGGGCCTCTATTATGTAGTAGCATACAATTAAAGGACATGCGCTGACCTGATGAAGCAGAACAGTGGAGTGTTTCATGCTTTTAGGGCATTCCCACAGCAGGCTCGGAGACTTCCAGGAGACTTCCATGTATGATAGCTTATTTTCTAGTAGCTAAAACATCAGCATCAAAGCCTGCTAGCCTGGTTGAGGTTGTAAAGAACTGGTGAGCTAAGACAAGAAAAAAGAAAACCACGAAAGAAGAGAAGAATAATTTTGAGCAGAGTATTAGATGAAATTGTGCTAAAGAATAATGCTATAAGGATGGGAGTGACATGGAATCCATTGGCGGTAAGCTGTTAGAGAAAGGGGAAAGGTAGCAGCATAGTGACAAAGTGACTGAAGAAATCTGGCCGTATTTTGTATGAGAGGAGCTTCTTTCTCAGATTTGCTACTTCATGACTGCTAGAGAGTTTGTAGCATGTGCTTATTGGATATTCAAGGATGAAGTAATTTAATCAGAGCATACCTTGGGGAAAAGAAGATATGTATGTAGTAGGTAGGGTGAAACCATCTAGTTATGTTTGTGAATTAAAACATAGCAAAATTGTGTTTTTAGTGGAATTTTATAGATGATACATAATAAATGATATAAAACAATATATAATAATATGTAAATTTCATATGGTAAAGTGAGGGAATCATCATTCTTTGACCTTTGGGGTGGTGATGATATACTATAGCTAAAAAGAGTTGTATAAGAGTTTTTATAGCTCTACAGTATATAAGATTAGACAACTTTTAAAAAAAATACGGACTCCTTGTAGATGGATGTGATGTTAATTTTCAAAGACTAAAAAACTTTCCTTGTAATGCCTGGGAAAGAAGAGAAAAATAAAACAATTTTTTAAAAAAGACTAAAAAACTACATGGGTTGATAATATTAAAAGCTCTATTTGGAAACAAAATATGATTTAAGCCATCCAAAAACTAGGATTGATTTTTAGTAATTAAGAAATAAATACTTAAGGATTAACTGGCATTTTCATGGCTTTCATCTGTGGGTGAATTTTATCAAGCATGTCTCTTGTTTTCTGAATAGTTTTGATGATAAAAGTGGTGTTCATGTAGTTAAAGTGTCTGCCTTTGCTGAATGATTGTAAGTCTTCATGGAAAGAGTTTGTGTGGATAGGGGAAGAATGCAGAGCAGTATTCAACATAAGTGCAGAAGGTTTTTCATAGCCAAAATGCATGTTATAAGGCAGTGATAAACATGCAGATCAGGAGTGTTTAGCATCTGGGAGGAGAGGAAGAGGATGCTATCAGAGCATCCTGAAGAACTTTCATTTGTCCTTTAGGATAGGTTATTTATTTGTATTGATGTTTTGTTCTGTTTTTTAGAGTACACTTTTAAAGTAAAGTTTAACATGTATAGAGGAAAGTATAGATGATAAGTATACAGCTTGATGAATTTTCACAAAAGAAACATATTTGTGTAACTAATAGCTACATTAGAAAACAGACCATTTGTATTATAACAGATTTTTTTTCAAGCAGGGTAATAGGCACATACATGTTCATTGTATCATTGTTTCTTTTTTTTTTTTGCTTTACGGTTTGCCTACCATATTTTAAAAAATCTTCTCAGACAGAAATATATTTTTTTTTTTTTTTTTGAGACAGAGTCTCACTTTCTTGCCCAGGCTAGAGTGAGTGACATGCCGTGGTGTCAGCCTAGCTCACAGCAACCTCAAACTCTCCTACTGCCTCAGCCTCCCAAGTAGCTGGGACTACAGGCATGCGCCCACCATACCCGCTAATTTTCTATATACTATGTTAGCCATTAATTTCTTTCTATTTTATAGAGACGGATCTCGCTTTTGCTCAGGCTGGTTTCGAACTCCTGACCTGGAGCAAATCCGCCTCCCTCGGCCTCCCAGAGTGCTAGGATTACAGGCGTGAGCCACCGCGCCTGGCCCGAAATATAATCTTTAGTCTGGAAAATGTCAGAAAACCCACAGGCTTCAATAGTTGAGAAAGTACTTTTGAGAAATAGTGTTTTTTCCCCTGTAGGCCTTTGTCTCCCTTTTGTCTGATATATTTTATAAACCTTGTATAGGCTGGGCGCGGTAGCTCACGCCTGTAATCCTAGCACTCTGAGAGGCTGAGGCAGGTGGATCGCTTGAGGTCAGGAGTTCGAAACCAGCCTGAGCAAGAGTGAGACCCCGTCTCTATTAAAAATAGAAAGAAATAAATTGGCAAACTAAAAATATATAGAGAAAAAATTAGCCGGGCATGGTGATGCATGCCTATAGTCCCAGCTACTCGGAGCTGAGGCAGAAGGATGCTTGAGCTCCAAAGTTTTGAGGCTGTTGTAAAGGCTTGATGCCACAGCACTCTAGCCTGGGCAACAGAGCCAGACTCTGTCTCAAAAAAAAAAAAAAAAAAAAAAAAACTTATATGAGACCAAGTACTAGAAATTTTACAATAGAAAAAGAGCATATTTTTCTGGCTGGCACAGTAAAAAAAAAAAAAAAAAAAAGAAAAAGAGCATAAACAGCTGTGTGGGATCAAACTAGTAGAAATTATTAGTACTCTTTAAAACATAGCACATTATTGGCTTTTATAACTGTAGTATAAAGTTTGGGTTATCAAATTTATGAGTACATTGAAGTGACGTCTTTCTTTTAAAATTTTTATCACAAAAATCCCAGCGATAGTTTAAGAATGAAATGCTAGCAAGAACTGAGCTATTATTAATTCAAATGTATATCTTGTTTAAAGGCTTTATGTCGGTTAAAGAAATCATGCATATAGTAGTTAGAAATATGCTTAAAGGGTTTCCCAGAATTACAGTTATCGATTTGCTTTTATGTTTTTTATCCCCAGGTAGGGAGGTACTTTTTCCATGAACATGAAGATTTGATTTTTTTTTTTGCATATAACAAAAAATATATATTTTAATTTTTATATTTTCTATATATTATATTGATATTTTATAAATAAATTTATAATATAAATTTATTTTATAAATATTTTATAAATATTTATTTTGTAAATAAAATAAAATACAAAATGTTTTATATTTTATTCTATATATTTTAATTTTTTTTTTTAAAGAGAGAGGGTCTCTGTTGCCCAGGCTAGAGTGCAGTGGCATCATCATTACCTGCTACAACCTCAAACTACTGGGCTCAAGTGACCTTCCTACTTCAACCTCCTGAGTAGCTGGGATTACAGGTGCACACCACCATGCCTGGCTAATTTTTCTGTTTTCGCAGAGATGGGGTCTCAGTATGTTGCTCAGGTTGGTCTCAAACTCCTGGCATCAAGCAATCTTTCTGCTTTGTCCTCCCAGAGTGCTAGGATTATAGGTATGAGCCACTGCACTCGGTTATATATCTTAATTTTATGAGAAGTATTAAAATGGGATTTTTCTGAACTGTCCTCGAGTAGGTTTTTTTATCAAAGTTGTGGCTAATGTGCTATGGAAAAGCCATTTTGTGAAATATCTTTCTGTAAGAATGGTCATTACCTTTTCTTCTGCTATTGGGGTTATATGTATAAGATTATTAGAATGTTAATCTATTGAAAACCTCCCATTATTGAATTTTTTTTCTTTCACTCTAGAAGCTAATAGGACAGTCTAGGTAATTACCGTTTTTGGTGTGTTTATGTGTATTTAGTCTTCGAAGAACTTGATAGGACACACTAAAGTTTTTGTTTTGTTTACCTGTTTTTGCTTGATAGGCAGTAGAGGGGGAAATGGCAGGTCCTAATCAACTCTGCATTCGCCGCTGGACTACCAAGCATGTAGCTGTGTGGCTGAAGGATGAAGGCTTTTTTGAATATGTGGACATTTTATGCAATAAGCACCGACTTGATGGAATCACATTGCTAACACTAACTGAATATGATCTCCGGTCTCCTCCTCTGGAAATCAAAGTCTTAGGGGACATTAAAAGGTTAATGCTCTCAGTCCGAAAATTGCAAAAAATACATATTGATGTTTTAGAAGAGATGGGCTACAACAGTGACAGTCCCATGGGTTCCATGACCCCTTTCATCAGTTCTCTTCAGAGTGCAGACTGGCTTTGTAATGGGGAGCTTTCACATGACTGTGACGGACCCATCACGGACTTGAACTCCGATCAGTACCAGTACATGAACGGGAAAAACAAACATTCTGTTCGAAGATTGGACCCAGAGTACTGGAAGACCATACTGAGTTGTATATATGTCTTTATAGTATTTGGATTTACATCTTTCATTATGGTTATAGTCCACGAGCGAGTGCCTGACATGCAGACCTATCCACCACTCCCAGATATATTCTTAGACAGGTAAGTTTGCTTTTAATTGCTAAGTTTGTAGAAGGTTGCTGTAATAACAGCAGTGATAATATATTTCTGATAATTATGTTGTTTGTCACTGTTATGGTTGTGGTTGATGTATACTTTCTATTTGCTTTATCTGGTGGTATAAAAACATATGCTTAGAAATCACCTTTTTCACTTAGAGTAAATTAGACCTCAACCTAGGTAAGTGAGAAAGACCACTGCTTAATTTATTTTTCTGAAGGTACAGCTCATTGTGCACTTCAGATTTTAAAAGGATGTCCTGGCCAGGAGCAATGGCTCACACCTGTAATCCTAGCACTTTGGGAGGCTGAGACAGGTGGATTGCTTGTGTTCAGGCATCCAAGACCAGCTTGAGTAAAAGTGAGACCCCGTCTCTGCTAAAAATAGAAAACTTAGCCAGGCGTGGTGGCACAGGCCTGTAGTGCCAGCTCCTCAGGAGGCTGAGGCAGGAGGATTGCTTGAGTCCAGGAGTTTGAGGTTGCAGTGAGCTATGATGATGCCATTGTACTCTAGCCAGGGCCAGAGAGTGAGACTCTGTCTCAGAAAAAGAAAGGAAAAAAATGATGTCCTGGAATGATGTCTGTAATAAATGGAACTTGGTTGCTTTTTTTTTTTTTTTTTTTAAATAATGAATAGAGTTCTGCTTTTTCAAAAATATGGTAGTCTCTTATAAGACCAAATGAACTGGAATTACCACAAATAGTACAAATGGTTTCAATGATAGTATCCTGTTTTTATTAAATACTGAATACATTAAAAAATGTATAATATATGAAAAATAAGAATAGAATAATAAAAAATACTCAATTATTAGTTTTTTGTTTGGTTTTTTTTTGTTTGTTTTTGTTTTTTTGTTTTTTTTTTGAGACAGAGTCTTGCTTTGTTGCCCGGGCTAGAGTGAGTGCCATGGCGTCAGCTTAGCTCACAGCAACCTCAAACTCCTGGGCTCAAACAATCTTCCTGCCTCAGCCTCCCAAGTAGCTGGGGCTACAGGCATGCGCCACCATGCCCGGCTAACTTTTTATATATATTTTTAGCTGTCTAAGTAATTTCTTTCTATTTATAGTAGAGACGGGGTCTTGCTTTTGCTCAGGCTGGTTTCGAACTCCTGACCTTCAGCAATCCGTCCGCCTTGGCCTCCCAGAGTGCTAGGATTACAGGCATGAGCCACCGCACCGAGCCTCAACTATTTATTAGTTTTTATATTTGTGAACTTACCTTTTTAAAATTTGTATTGCTTTCTTGTTTTTATAAAATATTTTGCCCTTCTGAAAGTGCCTTTTAGCATATGTATTTTAAAATGAAATGAATTAAAAATATCTACATTAAGATGGCAGAATAACATATATATCACATTTTGCTCCGTGTCTAAGCCTGAGAATTTTTTGGTTTTGTTTTTTAAGTGTTAAGCCCACAAGATGGGCTCCCATATAAACAGGGAATGAATGAACCTTGTTTATATGGGAGATTTCTCAAAGCTCTGGATACTGGAAGTGAAGGGGTGATGCTAAAATAAGGAGAATTGATTGAAAGCTGTTCAAGAAGTTGTTGGATCCCTGTATCTACTCTCCTATTCTATACAATTTTCCCCAACTCTAAACAGAAGACCCTACGGAAGTAAGGAAGAAAGCATGTGTAAATCTGAGGAAAGAGTACTTTAGGCAAATGAAACAGCTAGGTGCAAAAATCCTAAACTGGGAATGTGCCTGGCATGTTAAGGAACAACAAGTGAGAGACGGGAGAACAGTTGGAAATGAGGTCTGAGAAGAGACAGGAAGCCAGGTTGTACAGGGCATTGACTTTTGTAAGGGCTTTAGCTTTCATTCTAAGTGAAAAGGGAAGCCATAGGAAAGTATTAAGAAGAGTAGGGGGATCTAATTTCTAACTTAAAATATCATTCTAGCTGTATTAAGAATAGCCTGGGGGTAAGGGTAGGGAATCAGGGATCAGTTAAGCAGTTATTGAATTCATCTACACAAAGAAGATGGTAGATTAGATGAGTGCAGTAGTGGTAGAGATGGTGTGAAAGAGTCAGATTTTATATATATTTTGAAAGTCGAGCTAACAGGATTTGCTGCTGAATTTGGATGTGAGGTATAAGAGAAAAAGACAAGCCAAAGATTATTCCAAGATTTTTAACCTGAGCATATGGAAAGATGGAGTTGCCATTTAAAGAGATGGAAAGACTGGAAGGAACTGACTTGGAGAGAAAATTTTAAATGAAGGATTTGATTTTGGGCATGTCAGTTTTCAGATATCTTTTACACCAAATCAGATGTTGAGTAAGAGATAGAAATATGTGTGGAGTTCAGAGAGAGAGATCTAGGCTAAGATTTGGGAGTTATTAGCATAAGGAAAGCCATGATGCTGGATAAGGTTTCCTAGGGAGTAAATCCAGAAGGGAAAAGAAGAGAATTGAAGATTGAGCCCAAAAACATTCTAACATTTAGAGGTCAGAGAATGAGAAACCAATAAAGAAGACTGAAAAAGTCAGGAAGATATATATATCCTGGAAGCCAAGCAAAAAAAAGGTATTTTAAGAAGGCAGGAACAATTAGCTATGTCAGATGCTGCTTAGAGGTCAAGTAAGATGAGGATGATCATCAGAGACTCTGACAAGAGTTAATAAGGGCTAAATGTGTTGTAATGGGCTCAAGAGAGAATGTGAGATGTATTAAAATTTATATGAAGGTATATGTCCAGAAATATGAAACAACATGTTCACAAAGTTATTCATTGTGACATTATTTACAATAATTATAAATATTAGAAATAATCTAAATGCTTATCCATGGGAAACTAGTTGACTATACTATGGTACATCTACACAATGGAATACTATTTAGTCACAAAAAACAGTGAGGACAATTTCTATGAATTGATGTGAAGTGATGAGTAGGAAAAACTCAGTAACAATGAGCACCATGAGCACACAGATCATGGTTTCTAAATACCATTCTCCACTAAGAGGAAGCAGACCCAGGGCTTCTTAGAGAAATGGCTGGTTTTAAGTTTGGGGCAAAGGAAGCATAAAATGAGTCTGAAAGACATCTCGTGCCATAAATCAAGGAAGCGCATGAAACCCATGGAAATATGTCAAAAGAACATAGGAGCTGGCTTGAAGGGTCTCCCACTGATGAAATTAGGACAATTGGAACAACAAAAAGAATAATGGGCCAGGCGTGATGGCACACGCCTGTAATCCTAGCACTCTAGGAGGCCGAGGCAGGAGGATCGCTCAAGGTCAGGAGTTCGAGACCAGCCTGAGCAAGAGCGAGACCCTGTCTCTACTAAAAATAGAAATTAACTGGGTTGGGCGCGGTGACTCACACCTGTAATCCTAGCTCTCTGGGAGGCTGAGGCGGGCGGATTACTCGAGGTCAGGAGTTGTAAACCAGCCTGAGCAAGAGTGAGACCCTGTCTCTACTATAAATAGAAAGAAATTAATTGGCCAACTAATATATATAGAAAAAATTAGCCAGGCATGGTGGGGCATGTCTGTAGTCCCAGCTACTCGGGAGGCTGAGGCAGGAGGATTGCTTGAGCCCAGGAGATTGAGGTTGCTGTGAGCTAGGGTGATGCCATGGCACTCGCTTGAGCCTGGGCAACAAAGCAAGACTCTGTCTCAAAAAAAAAAATAAAAAAAAGAAATTAATTGGCCAACTAAAAATATATAGAAAAAATAAATTAGCTGGGCATGGTGGTACATGCCTGTAGTCCCAGCTGAGGCTGAGGCAGAAGGATCACCTGAGCCCAGGAGTTCGAGGTTGCTGTGAGCTAGGCTGATGCCATGGCACTCTAGCCCGAGCAACAGAGTGAGACTATGTCTTAAAAAAAAAAAAAAGAATAATGATGGTAATGGATTATAATATATTGAGTAAGAAAAATAGTCTATGACTATTAGTCTATGACTATTAGATATAGTAATAGACAAACAAAAAATAGTGGAGTCAGAGGAGAAGCTCTTCAAGAAGAGCTTTATCTTACGATGTATAATTGATTCAGGCAAGTCATGCTAAAAATCTATTAGGTGAAAGGCCATTGGAGAGCAGCATATTCACATGATCTGAAAGTATCATCTCACATATTATTTAATTACAGAGGAAATAAGGTACCTTTACAAAGGCAAGATCTGGAATGTGTCATCTTAGCCAAATGAGCAAATATACCATCACAGTGGGACAAACTGACATTATGTGCATTGCATTTGATTTTCACAGCATCACCTATGTAATAATCTTTTAAAAAATATTTAACTTAAATCTAATCATGAGGAAATAATCAGACAAATCCAGAACGTGGAACATTCTACAAGACAGCTGATCTGGACTCTCCAAAAATGTCAGTGTCATGATAGACAAAAGCCAGGGGAAATTGTATGGGAAATTGAAAAGATATAACCAAGAGCAATACATGAATTTTAATTGGATCTTATATTAAGAAAAAAGCTGCTATAAATGACATTTTTTGAGTGATTAAGAGAATTTTAATATGGACTGCATATTAAATGGTGATATTAAATCAGTGTACAATTTCCTGGGTATAATAGTGTATTGGTTCTCAGAGACATTAAGGGAGAAGTGTCATAATGTCTGTAACTTACTTTGAGAGGGAAGTTTTAGCCTCCCCTAAAAGAGTATGTGTGTATATGTACATAGGTATAATATAGAAAAAATGAAATAAAGCAAATGTGGCAAAATGTTAATTATTGTAAACAATTGATAGATTTAAGTGAAGAATATAAAATGGTTATTCTTTTAGTTTTTTTTTTTGGTAGAATCAGAATTTTTCAAAATAAAAGAATTGGGCAAAGAAATGAGAGAAAGAGGGGGAGGGGGAAAGGGCATTTATTGAAACCTTAAAATCTGTACCCCCATAATATGCTGGAAAAAAAAAAGAAATGAGAGAAAGAAAAAGGGGATGGAGAAATTGGAGACAATCAAATCTTTCCTGTAGGGCCAAGTTTTCCTATAAGGGCAGCA